GGGGGGGGGCGAAACTGTTCAGTGATTTGTAGACATACATGAGTATTTTGAACTGGATTCGAAAGTGAACCGGTAACCAGTGCAGTGAGGCCAAAACTGGTGTAATGTGCTCTCTTTTGCCTGTACTGGTTAAAAATCGGGCTGCTGCATTCTGGACCAGTTGTAGTCGTGCAACACACACACACACACACACACACACAAGCCTAGCAGGAAGTAATTGGTCGCCATCTTCACCTTCCTCCTGTGCAGTCCATCACTCAGCTGCCTTTTGAAACAGGGGGCACAACGGGGGGGGGAGGGGGGGGGGGGGGGGGGGGGGGGGGGTCATAGGTCAGTCTCTGTGAGCGCCCGGGTGTGACGAGGCTAAATGTTTTGACTGCATGAAGCTCGTTAGCCCGTCAAAAAATAAATAGGTAAATCCACAAATTAGCTAAATTAGCTGCAGCATTGTATAATCTATAGTGTTCAAAACCTGTGAAAAAATTAGTAGATTATAGTCTGGAAATTACGCTAAATTAATCAGTGAATCACTTTGATTTGACAAAAGGAAGGACTGTCTCTCGTATATGTGAGGTAATATATTTTGGTAAAAGACTAAAAAAATGTATGTGAATAAGACAAACAGGACAATTTTATGAATTTAACAATTTATTGAATAAAATGTTTTGTAGATTAACAACTGTACATTATAAAAATAAGCTTCATGAAGCCCAAGGCACATGTGTGACAGGTAATGTTAAGTAGTGTAAAGCGGCGTCAGGTTATCTTTCTGCGAACTGCTGCTCCGATTGATTCAACTTTTGTTCTGTTCTTCACTCACAGGTTGCAAGAGAAACTCCCCGGAGCTGTGAAGCGCGCCAAAGCTGAATGATCCCACATCAGAAACCTCCACATCACCATCATCATCATCATCATCACCCCCGCCCCCCTCTAGCTCCACCCAGTCTTAACTCCCCCCTCCATCACCACACTTCTACACTGAACCACGCTAGGTAGAAAACCTCCAAGCTACTCCATGTTCGATGTAAACTAGCGTGCAGCTTAAGTTAGCGGCGGCTGCGCACACGCTGCAGCCGAGTGGAGACAGAGCGGGTGAATTAGACTGAACCTATGACCTGGTTTCATCAACGGATGATGGCTGGCTACAGAAAACCACGTTCCTCTGAGCGTTAGACGGCATGTTTAAAGAATCAAGTTGTCCGAAGCATTGAGCTGTTTTAAGGATCCATAAAGTGTGAATGAATGAATTTCAGGAGCTGGTAACGGGTTTCTGTTTCAGTTTGTTTCCAGTCACAGGCACTGTTTTCACCTTTCTGCAATGCACTGAACTTTGAAAGCCTGTGAGCAGGTTGAAATCAAAGCCTCTGAGCCAGCTGTGATGGTTTGGTTTAGTTCACCACCTTGTGTTCAGATGCATTATTTCTCTGAACTGTTTTTATGTAAATACACTTTAAGGCAACTAAAAGCTCTACGCTACATAAACCCCCTTCGCCTTGCTTTTTATATGAACTAAAGTCCCGTCATTCACCGGAGCTCGGACTTCTGCTGCACCCATTCAGCCCACAAAGTGTTGACTCATGTTCACGTGTACATTTTGATTCTAATAATTATTACTTCTAACTGTTGCTGAACTAAATGATAGGTTGGCTGCTTCCTCCTAGCTTCCTAACGGCACTGTAAGAGTTAAGTGTTGCTGTTTTTGAAGCAGTCGCTCCATCAGAGACCTCTTTAGGAAGAACCGGACAGGTTAACGATCTCATCCTCCAAATCCTAAATCTCTGAGTGGTTTTCAAAGTGTTGAGTGTAAAATGTGCTTCAGTTTATTAGATTTCCACAGAGTTTGATATAAAAGCTGTTGAGTTTAATTAACGGTAGAAGTTGTCATTTAAAAAGTTTTAGCTGTGGTACAGTTAGTAATTCTACCACAAGCTTTATATTTTTGTCCTCGTTTATTCTTAATGTGGATTTATGATCGATATGAGAAGATTTTGGGCACGTTTTACACTCCATACTGTTCAGCACTAACTTAGTAAGTTTAGAGATTAATTTAAAAAATAATTAGTTTGTGCCATTTGAATTAGTCCAGCTGGACTTGGTAGAAGTTTTATTCTAGATCTATGTTATGGTTTTTGTTTTAGCCTCCATAAAGTGCATGTCACGTGTCAGCTGGAGGCAGATTTCACCCCCCACCCCCCCATCCTTTAGATTGCATCACACTTTGAGCCCAGCTTTTGTTTCGTGAGATGAACTTCTTGTGATCGTTTCCGTGGTGTTTCTCTTCTTCAGTAAAACCCGTTGTGACGTGTTTTAGCCCTGCAGCTATGTCTCCATGTTGTTTCAGAGGAAGTTAAACACCACCTCTGTCAGTGGTTTATAGTTTATATCGTGCCCCCGTGCACGACCTTAGTGTGTGGCGTCGCTGTGATCTTGTTGGTGTCAGCTCCAGGTTAAAGCGAACGTCTGCAACTTGTCAATCCACAGCTTCCATGATCTGAGAGCTGCAGCTCCGCCAGGAGCCACCGCTACAGACTGGAAGGTCCGAAAAACCCGTTCCCTCAGTTCAGGACACCGTGCACACATTGACAATCTGTTCAACAAACCGTGCACGGACTGGCTGTAACAGGTGGTGGTGGTGGTGGTGGTGGGGGGGGGTTGTGTTCAGTGAATGCAACACTGTACAAAACACAAAATCAGCCTGTAATGTTGAATAACATCAGTTTAATGTCCCTCTCAAATCACAGCAGCTGTTTGTGAAGCAGACGTTTAGTCTGTCAACAGCTCAGGAGCGTGCACGTTTCATTTAGTTCAGTTCACACTTTGACTTGTTTTCATTCACGTCCGGGGCGTCTGATGTCCTGCCGTGGACTGGACGTGCTGGCTCGTTCCTCACAGCCGCTCGACGTTTCTCTGTTCGTAAACCGTGCACGCATGACAGGGTTTGTATTCGTGTGCACGGCTAAAAACTGTGAGGGAACGGATTCTGACAACAAATTATTTTCCCACCATTAAGAGCAGTGCATTTTATATTTGAATGTGGAAAGTTTCATATTGTAGCTTTAAACGCTTGTTTTCATGTAATAAATTAAAACAGTTTGACAGATGTTGGGCTCACGTTGATCAAAGTAACTCAAACCTCCTTATGCAGATGATGTGAGTGTATTTAATTCCAATGGACAAAGTCACCAATTAGTATTGGGGCCGTTTTGTAAAAATTCAACTTTAGCTGTTTGGTGCCTCTAAATCCTGTTGGCTGCTTGTTCTTGCTGACCCGAAGCGTTGTGTTCAGGCCTCGTGAGGACACCAGCTGCAGTATTTCTTGGAACTTTAGCTGTTGCTTTGTTAGGAGCTGTGCTGGGAAAACTTCAAGCGGACGTCACGAGTTAGAAATGTTGCTGCTGCAGCCACGCAGCTGTCCAGGTGAACGTGCTCATATGATGGAGTCGGCCGGTTTCGTTGATTTATTGTGTCATAAATGTAATCTGCTGCCCTCACAGCACGTTGCTCTTCTTGTTTCTCAGTGATGAGTGAGTGACAGGAATGTCTTTCCTTCCATTTTGCTTTGAGGTCTTCATTATTCACTAAGATCAGCTTGGTTTTGTAGCAGCTACGCCACTGGTTCCGATATTTAAAGTTTTTGGAAAGATGTTGCAGGAAAACAAAAAAAAAAGTGAAAACAGTATGTGGTTTCTGTACTGATGTCGAAGTGAAATGAATAAAAACAACTCAAAGATCTGTGGCTCAGAGTGCGTTTGTTCACCTGGCTTTAGATCCTGTGGGAAAAAAATTAGGCCTGAGGGCCGGAAGTGGACCTTTAGCCATCCCAATCCAGTGCAACAAGTCATGGTATAATCCTAATCCAGACTACACCTGGGGTTATAGGGGCCTGGGCTGGATTGTACCCAGTGGTGTAGTCCAGGGGTTCCCAAACTTTTCCATGCCATAGCCCCCCAAACAGCACTGGTTTCTGGCCGAGGCCCCCCTCACAAACCCACAAACTGCTACAAAATGTGTAAAGAAGCATCAACTTTTAGAATGTTTTAACTTTTATTCACTATATTCAATTAATTATCACAGCTGCTGAGCATAAAAATGTTAAGTAGCATGTTTTAAACACTATCATACTCTCACTGAAAAAAACTTTTCAGCAAACTCAAAAAAGGTCCATGCTCAATAATCCAGGTATACAATCCAACAATTTTCAGTCGGGTCATCTGGACAGTTTTTTGTTTTTTTGAACTTTTTATTTTAAGCCTTTTTTTCTTTTTTCTTTTTTACACAGCTGAATGTCTAACATTCACCCTTCATTGAACACTAAAAAAAAAAAAAAAAAAAAACAGCACAGGAATTACCCGCAACTTTTAGAAAATAGTCACAATAAATATACAAAAGCAATGAACCAAAATCCTCTGAAAGTCACAATGACCCACCCATCAAGATGTCAGATAAACCTCCACACAGCACCACCTTTGGTCAAAAAGATCTGGTCATTTGCAGAACTGATGTCAACTTTTCCATAATGTATACTTGTTTAACCCTCCGTTTCCATTCAATTATTATCGGGGGTTTCAAGTCTTTCCAATTTACAGTGATTAGTTTTTTTGCAACCAATAATAAAATATTTACTACATATCTGATTTGAGTTGAACTCTTTATTTAACATAACCCGCAGTATATAAAAGAGAGGACCTGATGGAACTTCCATCTGTATAATTTTCTCAAGCTCCACCTTGATGTTCCTCCAGTATGTTTGGAAAATCAGGACAATCCCAGAATATGTGTGTATGGTCACCTATTTTCCCACATTTTCTCCAGCAGTATGCAGTTGAGGGATCCTTTGCAAAATTAGAGATATTAAGAGGTGTGTGGAAATACCTCATTTTCAATTTCCAGTCATATTCTTTCCATAACTGACTGGTAATCCCTCTTTGGCTGTTTTTCCACAGGTTATCCCATACTTCTATCAGGACATTTAACTCCAATTCCCATTTCTCTTTAATATACCAGGTATTCTGGTTAATATCATGAGAGCCTCTTGTATAAATTAGAGGAATGTGTTTGTTGGAATTTTCTTTTCTGTAATGGAAATACATTCTTTTTTTTTTTTTCTGAAACATTTCACCTTCTATCCAGAAGGCTTCATTAGTCAAGGAAACACACAACATAAAACTGATTCTTCCCCCAAACAGCTTACTCCAAAGTGGAACAAACCAGTTATGTTGGTGCTAAGATGGTGTCTTTGGCACGCCCCCTCCTCCATTGCCAGCCCTCTTCCTCGTCTACAGTCATGTCAAACTGGTTCAAAAGCAACAAAGGTCCATGCTCAATAATCCAGGTATACAATCCAACTATTTTCAGTCAGGTCATCTGGACAGTTTATTTTTTTGCTGAAATGTTTCCTTGACTGATGAAGCCTTCTGGGTAGAAGGTGAAATGTTTCAGCAAAAAAAAAAGAAGAAGAAACTGTCCAGATGACCTGACTGAAAATTGTTGGTTTTTCAACAAACTGTTGACCAGAAGAACAAAACAATAGAAATCTACAAGCGTGTTTATCTGGAAATGACAGATGCAGATTGCCCTAGTGGGCAATTTTTATTATTACAATTTGTTAGAGGGAACTATTTGAACGGAGTGATTTTATCTGAACTCTGCAGTGCCTCTGTGTGTCGTCTCTGGACATGATCACCGCCCTTGCATCCCCCCACCCCACTGCGTAATGTTAGTGTCATTATGTACTAGTGTGTAAGATTATTTTCATTATCACACTGTTGACCTTCAACCTGAGGTTAAAAGCATGTTGGGACTTTTTTTTTGTCTCCAAACCATGTGTTATTTTTCACCATTTTTTGTCTGTCCTGTAGAGATATACCTGCGTCCTGAATGTCATTTTGTAACAGACCTTTTATTTCTGTGACTGAGCAGTTCATTCTGTAAAGATGTTTCTGAAATAGAAAAAACTTCATCTTTTGAACAACTGAGACATCCCACCCCCACTTCAGAACCTGGGACAGTTTAAAGTTTGTTTTCAGCATCTCTAACTCTGGAAAGTGTCAAAAGAAGAATTTTATGGTTGGTAAGACAACCCAAGGATCCATAAATCTGAATAATATTGGAACACTATTTCTGTGAACTCCACAAAATGGACGTTTGAGTTAACACAGATCACTCCAGGAGGTCCTGGTACCCACTTGTACCAGCCTCCCTCAGACTATCCCCTCAACAAACATAAATAACAGAAGGCTTCTTCTCTGTTCAAAGGAATTCCAACTTCGACACTTAAGGTCCCATTTCTAGCATGCAAGAAAACAGACAAGACTTTTTAATTCACATTTTAGAAGAAGCAATACTGTTTTTGTAATGAAATAAGTGTTTAATTGGGTATAACTAAATAACGTTGGTTACGTACTGTAACCCCAGATTCTATGAGTATAAGCGTAGCCCTTTAAGGCCTTCGCTTTAGTGGGTTTATCCCGTTATGCGCAGCATAAGCACTGAAAAAATTTAGTCCACGCCCACCTGCTGTGTGGGCCCCACCCAGTCCGTATAAATTACGTAAAGAGCGGGAAATCGGCTCCCAAAATAGCTTTTTCTTCAGCCATTTAGGAGCCAGTGAGGCCCGACGCTTAAAGGGCTACGCTTATACTCATAGAATCTGGGGTTACAGTACGTAACCAACGTTCTATTTCGTATAAGCTTCGCCCTTTAAGGCCTTCACTTTAGTGGGTAAAGGGCGAAGCCGATGTGGTCCTCGCCTCACTGGGTCCATTCGAACACAGTTTGTCGCGGAAGCTTGCCCAAAAAACGTCTTGTCACTCAGCTCCCCGTGTGCATAACTACGCGTTGCGTAATTATGTGCCATGCACAGATGCATGTTGTGTAACTATGCGTACTGACAAAAACATGAACGCCCCGGAAATTTTCAACGGGGAAAGGATGTTGAAAAGAAGAGGGGGGGGGGGGGCATGAACCAACTGGTTCATGGCTGAGTATTATAAACAGATCAAAAAACAATGAACTGATTATTGATCAAATGAACTGATTGGTAACAATAGTCATGAACTGATTAATGACAATAGAACCAAAATCATAGACACAACTTGTGACTGATAACAACATCTCACACTGTAATGCATGCAGACAGATGTGAGTTTAAACAGAGTTCCATGAAAAACAACAATATTCATTCTGTTAGAGCACTAAGGACAGAATGTGTCATGGAACGAGCCGTTACATCACGTAGGTAAAAGCGAATAAATGAGCAGGGTGTTGACCATGCAGCCGCAGTGCAAATGTCCTGCATTGACATACCATTATGCAGAGCAGTCGAAGATGCGATAAACCTGGTCGAGTGTGCTTGAGGTTGACAGGAGGCTCTAAATCTGATGCTTGTAGGCTTCAGAAATGGTCTCACACAGCCAGTGTGACAAGCGCTGGGTGGATAACGGGCAACCTGCAGATGCATCTCTATAATGCACAAACAGGTGTTGAATTTGACACATTACAGCTGTGCGCGCTATGTAACACGTCAACGCCCGCACCGGACAGAAAAGATGAAAAGATGCTTCTTCTTCTGATCTGTGGGGGGGAGGGAAAAAAACCCTCCAACGATATCGCTCTTGATTTAAAAGAGCTCGTGATGATTTTAGGCATAAAAGCTGGGTTTGGTCTTAAATCAGCTGAACTACCGTCAGCCTGGATTCTGAGACATGACGGAGCGACAAAGAAGGCAGATAAAAACACTCACTCTCTTAGCGGGTGTTAAAGCCAGCAGCAGGGCTGTTTAAAGAGACAAGAATTTAAGTGGAACCTGATCCAAAGGCTCAAATGAAGCTTTGATCATGACCTGCAGGACCAGTATTAAATCCCACTGGAAAACAAGTGAGTGTGGGACAGACCTGCGTCTCTGTACACCTTTTAGAAAACGTTTCATCAGAGGATGATAAAACCTGTTCTGTCTCAGAAACCTTCATGTCAGGAAGAGATGGCTGCAGCGTACGTTTTAAACATGCTGGATGCAGATTTCTATCCATCAGCTGCTGCAGAAAGAACAGCATGCCACCTAAAGAACATGAGGAGGCCTCTACATCCTTCTCTGTACGTCAGCACTGAAAAGCTGTCCGCTTTGATGTGTACATCGCTGTGGTAGATGCAACACGTGAAGCCTGAATTGTGCGCATTACATCCTGTGGGCAACCCATCCTCTGTAAGTGGATTCGTTCAACGGCCAGACCACAGGCGCTGGCCTATTTCTGGGTAACTCCTGGTCGCTCCTCCTGCCTGGAAGGAGAGCGTCTTCCCTCTATGGCAGTTCCCACGGGCACTCCGACAACAGGCGTTTCAGGACTGGAAACCATGGTGAACCCACGCGCTCGGGGCCACCAGGAGAGCTGTCAATCCCTCCTCCTGAGCTCGGTTCAAAGACCGTAAGATCAGAGGAGGCGGAGAAAAAACGCGTACAGGAGCATTTTGGGCCATGGACTGTGGACAAACGTATCTACCCCCCAGCGGTGGTTCGTCTCATGGACTCAGAGAAGCGCATAATTGACACTGAACATTTCCTGTGTCACAACAGGCCCACAGCCGCTATATCAATCTGAGACAAAATGCTCCGTCAGAGGATGATTAAAGGTTGTTCTGTCACCGACAACTTTGAGACAAAAGAAAAAACACGGTTGCAGCATACAATAGTCATGCTGGACACCAGATTCTGTCCTTCGGCTGCTGCAGAAAGACA